TTTTGACGCTGTCTGATAGGTACCAGCAGCTCGCATACCGTCTTCCGCGTCTGGAGTTAAGGCGAATCGAAGTTTAGCAACTTTTTCCTAGAAAATCTGAAAAAAAAAAGAATGAATGCGCGTGTAGTACGTGATTGCATTCTCTCAAAAGGGTTTCCCTAGTATACATTTTTGTAAACTGGCCATCGTGGCCACTGCATGCCTTGTTTGCCGTATCCAAGCTCTCGTGGGAAGTTATTTAAAGTTGTGAGACTACCAAAACTACCATCTTTCACGCGCGGTACACAACACCAGGCATGTTTTTCGTAATCTGCGTCCTCGGCTGCGTGCGGAGGCTCTAACCTAAACACTCGGGGAAAAAAAAAAAAAAAAACACGGTGAGGAATTTGATTGCCGTGATTGTCCGGCGCCAAGGTCCAGCGCCGCGCCGGTCAATCGCGGTCGCCAAATTCTTAGCCGACTTTTTCGCCAAGCATCCAGATCAGAGTTCTAGCACTGTCAAAACTACTTCTGCGCTGTAAGTTTTTGGTATGCTTTGTTTGCACAAACGCTTCCCGTGTAGGAAACATTTTTCGTGCCATGTACTCCCGTCCACGCCTCCCGAGTCCTGTAACGTTGGACGAAACGCGTGAGAAGTACGGTGTGTGTGTCGCGTCGCGCGGTTCGCCGGCAGCGTTCTTCCGCGTTGCTCGGGGATTCCTTTGTACCGAGGATAGCCCTTCTTATCATGGCGCCCTGTGTTTCGATGGTTGCATTGGCTTTTGTGATAGCCCAGCTCAGTAGAAATGCTATTTGTGGTTGCTCAATTTGGAGAAGGACGAGTGCCGTATTCAAACACCTAGTGCCCCCAAGAAACTAGCGGCGCAGGGTGTATGGTCCGCGATCGAATCAATCATCGGGGCTGACGCGCCTGGTGGTCACGGAAGTATTCGCAACTTTCAGCGATGGTGGTATCGCGATGTGACAATTCTTGCTCCTGGACGATCGGCTTTCGAATGAACCTGCTTGCTTAAACCTTCTTGACGCGGAACTATAAGGTACGGCTTTTATATCGCTCGTATTTTCCAAGGTTAGGATTACTCACGCGTCGCAGACCTAACCTTGCAGTGCTGTTCTACGACGATGATCCAGTTGACAGCCATTTTGATAGAAACTAGCGCGCCGCCAATAGGCTGCGTAAGTTGCGAACAGTCTTTCACCCGGAAACGGCAAATGACGCGCCAAAACGCGCACCGGAACTCAAGGCGCACCCTACTTGCGTGTAAGTAATTGGCCGTTACCTATGAAACTGACCGCTACATTTTTGTTTACTTTAAAATTTCAAAACGGTTGATTTTTCTGCCCCTTCGAAAGAGGGCCTTTATGATTGGACTTTAATCAACAGATTACAAAACTGTCCACCTCCTCATTTAACTATTTCTGTTTAACTGTTCCCCGAAAGGAGGTGATGATTGTATTGGAATCACCGGATTACAAACTATTCTCCGCAATAGACTACTTATAATTTACAATTCAAATTTGAAATATGAAACCCAAATATACTATATAAACTGTCAAGACAAAAAGTATGACCCCTTTGTACGGCTAAGTAATATATATATATATATATATATATATATATATATTATATTTTTTTTTTTTTTTATTGTGGTAAGATACGTTGCTGGGCTGGTTGATCCATCGTTGTAAGACATACAAAAAAGCACAAGAAACACAGACGCAAAGTAAACAGGACAAGTGCTAGCGCTTGTCCTGTTTACTTCGGGGTTTGGAAGATATAGGTACGGTTACTGCTAATGTTATTCTGAAAGTAATCATATCCCTATTGAGATTACTAACTCATAAAGGCAATCACTCGATTTAAAAATAACAAAAAGGGATCAGTCACAGTAATTTGATCACTTGCAATGAACAGCGAACGAGTCTACATCAAAGCGACGTCCTGGGGGGCTATGTTGCACGTTTTGGACTCCCAGGAGACGAGGGAGACGGAAGTGACGTAGGTGTGAATGAACGTATCTTAGCAGCTCCACGCAACGCGTCATCAGCGACTCCACCAATCAACATCCAAAGAGCGTTGTTGACGTCACTTCCTTCTCCCTGGTCTCCTGGGAGTCCAAAAACGTGCAACATAGCCCTACTGGTCTCACAAAAGAGTGAACAGGTAAAAGCGGAATTTCGTTCATTCGCTCTTCTCGAACTGCTCGAATTACGTCCTCGCAAAACTACATTTGGTAAGCGCTGCCACGTGCGTTGCTTCCGTCACTGATTGGTTCAAAGAGGCCGTAGCGTTCGCTCTTTGCCCCGTTGCGTCGAAACGATTTATAGACGAACACGGCACAGCGCAGAAGGCGAGAGTGATGTGTATTTCCAGGGCCTACTCCAACTCCACTCCGAAGAAGGAAGCAGAACAGCCTTACGTCCCCGGCGTGGACTCCGGCTGGCAGGCCTTCTTTGTGGCCTCCTGCCTGCTGGGCTGTCAAGCGGCCTCCAAGACAGAGGCCTTAACGGCTGACGCCAAGTGCAACCTGCCTGTCATGCACTCGACAGACTTTGCCAAGGCCTTCGATTGCGCTTCCAACAGTCAGATGAACCCCGTGGCCAAATGTGACTAGAAGGATCGTCATCCCACCTGCGACCACCCCTGCTATGGTTGATGCTATGATGTGCCATTATCAGAAATAAGTGCCATCTAGTCTGCTTATTATCAATAGTCAAGTTTGCCTCATATCGGAGGTTTTTCGTACCCTTAGTGTCGCCCGAAAGACACTGGTCGCAGCAAAGAGGAAGTCGTAGATCTAATATATGATCTTTGACTGCAACTCCAGCTCGAAGCCTTCGTACGATGGTTCTAATAAACACCGTTTACTTGACCGAGATGGATAATTTCGTTGCACGATGATGATGACGATAATAATTATATATATATATCAGTTCACAGCCACCAGGCGGCAATACCGAATCTTCTCGCCGCGAGTAGACGGGTCCACGTTGAAGGGACATTGAAATGCATTTTGGGCTGGGATAAATGTTTTTAGATTCTGATTTAAAGAATCGAATATTGCTTAGTTGGTTAGAAGAAAGCTAGTACACGAGGGTGAAAAGCCAAAAACCTTCGGTACGAGAGCTTGACAATATAACGAACTATTTCTTATCTCCTTTCCTACAGACGTTCTCCGTCTTTCCACATAGGATGCGTCCTCGGTGCCCAAGCAAGTCATCCGAACACAGCCCACGCAATGGACACGACCACTGCGACACTCGGACGTATGAGCTTGTCAGTAACCGATTTGCCGACGAATATCTGGATTCGCGTTCATGGCCAATGAGTGCTCTCACCTCATTTCTGATCACTTGCGAATGATAAGTTTCATAGTGTGCTTAAAAAGCACGCTGTAAGCTTGAATTCATCACTGCTGGTGCCCAAGCATGTCACGACCACGTGATTTCTCATTTTTTTCTTTGAGTTAAAGGAAAAAGAAGTTGAAAAAGTGAAAGCTGTTTACAACTTCCTGTAACGCCGAATTGGAGCGCAGCTCTTGAGGAGGAGGAGTGGAGGGTATATTCCTCCTCCTCCCTCGTGATCATGCCTGCTAGTCCTCCTCCCCTCCTGCTCCCCCTCCCTCTCCTTTACCACCTCCTCGTCCTTCAAGCTCCTCCCCTCCCCTCGCCTCCGCCTCCTCGTCTCTCCTCCCCCTCCTCCATTTTCGTACTGCTTTCCTCCTCGCCGCTGAAGTCATGTGACCCCCTCCCCCCGAGGTCACGTGACCCCCCCGAACCAGACAATGAGGGGAGGAGGGGGAGGAGGAGGAGGGCAGAGGTCCGGGGGGTCACGTGACCTCGAGGGGACGGGTTCACATGACCTTGGGCGGGCCGTCACGTGACTTCGGCGGGGGGAGGGGAGTCACCCCCTGGGGTCACGTGACCTGGGCGGGGGAGGAGGGGAGGAGGAGGAGCGGAGGGGGAGGAGGAGGGGGAGAGGCGACGCCGACGACGACGCCAACGCCGACGCCGCACAGGCTGGAAACGGGTCATGTGACCCCCTCCCCCCGAGGTCACGTGACCCGCCCGGACCATACTACACAATGAGGGGAGGAGGAGAAGGAGGGGGAGGAAGAGGAGGAGGAGGGGAGGAGGAGGAGAGGGAGGGGTGCGGTTACGCCGACGCCGACGCCGACGGCGACGGCGACGCCGACGGCGACGCCAACGGCGACGCCGACGCCGCTCAGGCTGGAAACGGGCCCCTAAGAGCTGCGCTCTAAAATTATTTCATGGTCCCTCATAGAATGCGGCAAATAAACACTACTGCATACCAGTCACGACACCGCATCGCTCCGCGGGCCAACCAGGAAAGCAATACCCACGACGAGTTATGTGACGTGTGAGCTTGTAGAAGAGTAAGACGTTGGCGCGACCGAGAGGGCCGTGGCCAGAGCATTCGATGGCTGAGCCTGCTAGGATAAAGGTGTGTTTTTTTGTGTCCAGCCTGTCCTGTCTTCCCTGCGGGTGGCCAGTGTGCGATATCCCCACAGACGCCTCGGGAGCAGACTATCTGCGCATGACAGAGGGGCACTGGCTGGCGCCAATGAGGAAGTAGGAAGAGCTTCTGTCACCTTCTAAACTTGTATCCGACTATGCACTGGACGCATCATGTATGGGTGCTGTTTAGAGCGCATGTTCAGACCAAGCTCACACTGATAGGCAGCTAAGACCGGCAATCTTGATGGTGTGAGATGCACATTGCGAAAGAATTGTGGAAGCTCGTCGTCAGCACGCGCTCAGCAGTCGCGCACACAGCAATGGACGCCAGCGAATACTCCCTGTAGTAGGGACGTTTTGGAAACTCGGCGCTGTGGCCGCTTGTTTAATTCGTGTTCTAAGTGGCGGCACAAGCACCTGCTAGTAACGAAAGCTCTTCTCTACGATCATCGGAAAGTCCCTGTTAAGACACCTTCAAGGTGCGACGTCCTACAGAAGGGAGATCACCCAGAGGCACCCACCTTGAGCACTCCCACGATGAGTAACACCGAGAAGGCCACCTGGATGATGGTGTGAAAGATGAGCAGCGCTGGGTAGAGGACTCCCCCTGCACAAGGACGGAACCCAATAAAGTGACACTCAAATGATCGGGACGCAGGTTTAGCTAGTTCAAGTATAGCAGTAAAACATATAAAATAGCGCAACAGAAACAAGGACAAGAAGTAAACAGGACAGGCGCTAACTTTCAACTAGTTTTATTCTGGAAAATCGAACACATATATACACACGACGATTTTCGATTTTCCAGAATAAAACTAGTTGAAAGTTAGCGCCTGTCCTGTTTACTTCTTGTCCTTGTTTTTGTTGCGCTATTTTATATGTTTTACTAAGATGAACCTATAGCCCAACAACGTACCTTACCAAGTATAGCATGTTGAGCCAGAGATCGGGGTACTTTCAATGTTACAAAGGTAACAAGAAAGATGAGAGTTGTAGACTGGGGGGGGGGGGGGGGGGGGGACCGGGCCATGGAATTAGGTTCGATCGAGGTAGCGCGCTATTATACGCGTCGCTACTGTACATCTCGAGCTCAAACGTCCGGGTGATCTGCCGAACTCTGAAGCAGTGCTCGCGTCCAATTATTTGACAGCATCTCCTTACCACAGTTATCTTTGTTTGGACACCAGCCGCGCTCACCAGCAGCCGACCAAGGTGTCTCCTCTTTACTGCGCTGGGGCTTTTACCAGCTCGGTCGTCTCGACTTTAATGTGTACTCGAGACTCGTGAGCTTGTAATGGTCTGCTCTCATAAAATATCTTCAAGATAAAGTATAAGTTTGTCTCTCTCCGATCTTTTTTTTTTTTTTTTTTTTTTTTTTGTAACTGCGATTTTGTTACCAACATGCTCCCCCTGACTTTAAATATTTGTTACACTTGCAAGCAAGATTGAAACTCTGTGCTTGCCTTCGTCGTTTTTGTGCCAGTTAGCCATGTGTCTATTATAGAAAGCATCTCTTCCGGAAACCTATATCTTACTGTGCGTAGAAAGACGTCTACGGGTAGAATGAACTACATCTACCCAGGAGTAAGACGTGTCTTGGAGAGTAGCTTCGCTGTCTGACGTTCCCAGTGAAGTCGAAACCGGCCTTTCTAGCACAAAAGCTTTTTAGAACGAGAAACCTGTATGTCTTTACGATAAGGAAAGAGGGACATTGAAGACAAACAGAAAGCCGGTCTTGTCTGTTTGTCTTCAATGTCCCTCTTGTCGTAAATTAATAACCAACACGCTCAGCCATCTACTGTATGTCTTAAATGCACTCTCGTGTCCCTTCAGTTGATGCTCAATTTGGCGAGCGTAGCACGATTGTTAACTTGGGAGTCGTGACTCAATCCCATTGGTCGATTGTTCAACAGGCGCTTCTTGAAGACATACCGAGTGCGCATTGACCCTTTCGTAATCATAAAAACCAAGAACCGCAAAACAACAAGAAAAAATGTAGCAAGCAAGGTTTCCGAATACTATCGCGTCGACAGAAAATCTTCTTAGTGATTATTGTTGTTTTATTCCTTCTGTCTCCTCTCGCCTTAGTTAAGATGTCGGCTTTAAACCAGCTCGTCGAGCAGTCTTTAACATTTTTTTTGGCTGGGACTTAACTATAAAGCCGGGATCACACTTCTCATACATCCTACAAAGGACAGTCTGAAGACACGAGTTGCCGCAATATTTGTGGTTCGAATGCCACGTGCTAAGTTACTTTTTCAACTCAATGCCATGCGGCATTCGAAGCACTGATCTCATGGTAGCTCGCGTTCGAATCTGTATGCAGGCTGTCTTCTGTATGACGTACAAGCAGTGTGACCCCGGCCTAAGATCTGCATCACTGAGATATGGTCAAGAATAGTGCTATGAGAGGGGATGGCTGTGAATGAGGACGTCGATGCGGAAACTGCCACATTGTGGAGAGGGAAAACAATAGACGTAGAAAAGAAAAGCGAAATAAGGAGCAAAAATGGAGATGTCAATATAGCCGTAAAGACGTCCCTCTCCATCCCCCTTGTATGTTCTGTTGTTTTTTCGTAACAAGTAGTCCAACATGCTTTTGAAATTATTAAAGATAATAGAATTTGGGATTGTTTTAGGCATTTGGGCGTAAAATGGGATCACCCATTTTAGGGCACATTACATTCCCGCTGTCTAAGCCTGCGTTCAAGACAACTACAAAATTATTTTTAGGAAAAAAAAAGAACTTAGAACAGGGCCGAACTTGTAACCCTGAGATGTGATTGACGCTTTTTGGCAAAAATTGTTTCACACCATTAACAACTTTGAATTCCACGCCATGTAAGTTGTTTTCCTCTCGTTTACAAAAAAAAAAAAAAAACAGGAGGAGAACCGAAGTGATTATTTAAACATTATGGACGCTAGGATTAAGAAAAATACAAAAGAAATGAACACACACCACGACAGGCGATATATGCCATTTCTTTTAGTTTTCGTTCTTGGCCACTGTGCTTTTCATCACGGAGGCGGGCCCATTTTCGACCGTGTTAACACTTATTTTCCCCGTTTACTTTTCCGGAACTAAGCTTTTTTTCGAAATAAAAGATTACTCCAAAAACTTTCCTCGCGTCCGGAGATGCTTGAGTGCATGCATGCAAGCCATACTTACGCTTAAAGTCCGTTTATGGAATGTAAGTGGACTTATAGGGCTTACAAAAAAAAAAAAAATATCCACCCCAGAAAAGAATTTTTGAGGACCCCGTTAGTCCAGTTTAGATTACAAGAGCGCGCATTATGTATACAACGCCGCTAATTACCAGAAGCTTGGAAGCTTGGGTTGTCCTGCCGTTTTCCTTTAATTACTGGGTGTCAACCAAGCGTTGCATCCCATATGCAGAAAAACGCGCGGTTCCGGAGTCACGCCGCTGCAGCGGTGGCGTCGCTGTCGGCACGGCTTAGGCGCACGCGCTCCGGATCATTAATAAGGTTTCTGCGCGCACACACTGCGCACACGCACTGGTTATAGCAAACACAGACTTCTTTGGAAACAACGCATTCGTCTACAAAAATGGCCTTGTGCGTCTTAAAGGGATACTGAACCGAAATTTGAATTTCGCAAAGTAAGGCTCTAGAAGCGTTGAACGGGACTCTACGAACTCTGAAACATTGCTCGTACATCGATATCTCAAACGGATGGCTGCACTTTCGAAAAGGAGGGCGCGATCAAGCGAGGCCTCTGACATCACTGTCCTCCGGGAGAATTTGAGAGTGAGGGGGAGCGGCCTCGCTTCTTTCCTCCTCGCTTCGGTTCACCAGCTCGACACGGGACGTAGTGAGGAGGAGAGGGAATAAGAATCGTGACGTCCCTTGCCTTGTCGGCCTCGTCGGCCGGGTTCAGTCGGGCGCTTCTTTTCTAAAAATTTAGCGATCCGTTAGAGATATCGCTGTATGAGTGATGTTTTTGGGTTTCGCATCGTCCCGCCTATCTGTCCAGCCTTGTTTTGTGAGTTCGAAATTTCGGTTCAGTATCCCTTTAAAGGCCGACTGCCAGACTCGAGATTCTGCAAGGCAGAAGATCCTTACCGTGGAGGAGGAGGAAACAGGCAATGGTGGACAGGGTAGAGGGGGGAGAGGAGGAATCCGGAAAAAGTGAAAGCGCCAAGTGTACGTCGGCCTAGAATTAAAGACCGACCAACAAGCAGGAAACTCTCCCCTCCTCCTTTCCATTCGAGAAGGAGGGAGATCCTCCTCCTTTCTGCGGAGAGTAGCTCAGAGACTCGCTCTTGTGGGGAGAGGAGGACAGAAGAGTGCGCGAGGGACTGGCGAGATGGAAGCTGGAAACCGGTTTTCTGCCCGGCAGAAAACTAATCTATAGATCGGCCTTTAATTCCAACTGCCTCAAAACTTCATTCGTTTCTCAAAAAAAAAAAAAAAAATATCGCTATTTTTTATGCGTGACCCGCGCTAAGCCTAGTATAAGGTGTCGGGTTGTTTCAGAGCCCGACGCTATCGCAATATTATCAGGCTCTACTTGTTGGAATGTAGACCCCGACCCTTTTATCATCAGGCAGTGAGCACCGCCTGTCGATTCAAAACTATGAAGCAGGGGGTTGAAGAGACAAAAAAGCTGGCTTACAGAAATGATCGTCAGATTTTGGCAGATCAGTTGTGATGATGAAGAATGCGGCGAGGAGGTACCAGAAGGCGAAGAACTCCAGCACGTGGATGAGCTGCGAGAACAAGGAATTTCCAGATGTCAAAAACAATATCCCATTACAAATAAAATGAAAAAAAAAAGAACCTGTTTAGTGACATGGAAACAACAGGTTGTCTTAGTATCTTTTCACTTTTGACCAATCCCAACCAGCAATAAAACCTGTTCCTGAACAAGCGGTAAAACTAAAAAGTGCTCGCGCCAAAAACAACAAAAAAGATTTTTTTTTTTTTACGAAATTGTACGTAAAATTTGTTTCTTAGCAGGTAATTTCAGTGACCACATTTCTCCGGTGGTCACATGATCACCATATAGTCGGTGCCGCTAGGAGTCGCACGGTCACGCGACCACATGAAGCGATATTACACAACGTTGCGTACGACCAGGACGTAACATCGTGTGACGTGGTGACACGATGTTAGGACTTAGGCGCACGTTTCCGGCTTGAGCGGCGTCGCCGTCGCCGTCGGCTTAACCGCGCGTTAAATTATGGGGCGTTTCCCATAATGTCGCGTGTGACGTCACGAGGGTCACTAGGGTTACGAGGTACGTCACTTGCAACAACGCGATGCATTATGGGACGTTTTCCATAATGGCGTCACGAGGGTCGTTAGGGTCCCAAGTGACGTCACGATGGACACTCGTGAAGGTCACGTCCTTCGCAGTGAAGGTCACGACCTTCACGAGGGCCGTCCCATAAGGCAACGCACTCGTCCCATAATTATGGGTGCGTTGCATTATGGGACGACGAAGCCTTCACGAGTGACGTCACGAGGGTTACTAGGGTCACGGGTGACATCGCGAGGGAGGAAGGAAGGAGAAGGGGAGGAGGAAGGGAGGACGAAAGGGAGGAGGTAGAGGGTAGCAGAAGGAGGAGGGGAGGAGGCGAGGGTACGGAGGAGGAGGAGGGGCATACCCTCCTCTCCGTACCCTCCCCTCCTTCTCCTCAAGAGCTGCGCTCTAACTCGGCCTTAGAGGGTGTTGCAAACGGCTTTCATTTTTTCACACTACAATATATATATATATATATATATCACTCTGTCAATCGGCATTTTCTGTCTCACAATGCTCCGAATACAGAATGTTTCCTATCAGAGGTGTTCTAGAGCAGCGGTTCTCAATCTTTTGGCCTTTGCGAACCCCCGAATCGACTCAGAGGACATCCAGGGACCTCCACTGAGTACAATACTGATAAGGAGAAAGCTCACACAAACGGGCACGTGCCCCATAGGCCTACCCCCTGGCTTCGCCACTGCGTGGATGTAGGACTTTTCCCTTCGACAAAAGCGGAGATGCTTCTACGGAGAGGCTGCAGGGATCGCGGGACGACGCGTGCTGGCCGTAGACGCTATCGGTCCTCCTCCTGGAGAAGTGAGATGCGCCGGTGCACTCCGAGTATTTCGGCCACCCATCGAACCGCGCGCTGATTGTACCCCGAGTAGGCTTCGGTTCCGGACAAAAGAGAGCAACGCGGAACCTTCAGAAGCCCGCTGAAATATAGTGCTTAGTCCTTGTTTTAGCCAAAAAAAGGCATTTGTATTAGTTTTGTTTTCGTTTTGACAAGTCAACCAGAGAAGCCAAATTCTACGTTGCGCTTCAGGAAATTCCTTCCTGAAGCGCAACGTTCAGTTTGGCCTCTCTGTTTTAAGTTGTCAAAACAAAACAGTTTTTTTTTGTCTTCGTATAGATCTAGGGTAAATACCATATTTCAACAGGCTTCTGAACGTTGCCGTCTTTTTGCACAACCAAGGCCTACGCGGCATACGTCCTGCGTGGTTCTACGGCTGACCGAAATACGAGCGGATGCACCGGCGCATCGCACTTCTCCAGAAATAGGACCGATAACCTCTAGAGGAAGCACGCGTCTCTATGCCAGTCGTCCGGCAGTACGGCCTTGTCAGGGAGGTGTCGGCACTACTCACGTTTTAGCAGTTGATTCAAGCATGCTTTGCATTCGTTTACCCTAGAGCTTTGAGCAATTCGACATTCACGTAGAACGTATAGCCAGACACATAACCCAGAAGCAGCTGACTGCTAGACTGGAGACGCTTTGTATCTTTTGCTAACAGTCCCGTTATTGAGTTTGTCTACATTCAAACGAAGCAGCAATGTCTTTTTGTGTGAAGCCGCTTTCACGGCTGTAATGAATTCATTCTTGCGCGGCTTCCCGACAGCCGCCCATTGCGTGTTTCGAGGACAAAGCCATTTTGATGCGTATCTGACCCTTTTCGTGGGATCGCATGCACATTCCACGTGAGCTGGGGCGTAGCCAAAGCTAGCACGCTCCGCGAAAAAAAAAAAGAAAAAAAAAGAAAAAAAAAGAACATTTTTTGTTTTGTTGTTTCGTCGTAAATTTTGTAAACGTTGAAAAATGATGAATTTTCAATTTTACTGAATTTCTAAATCGCTTCAACTGTATGTGCGTATACCCTATTTAGTGTTTATTCTATCGCGTTGTTACAATCGTAATTAGGACAATGTCGCTGCTCGTGAGCACACAAAGTAAACAGATGACCATGATGATGATGACAAATTTATTTCCGTGTTTTAGATTAGTATACTCAAAGCGTTTAGCGTTCGCAGAGAAATAGCGCGGTCGCCACGCGCCGATCCGAAGCGCTGGTTAGGCTCGGCGCCTGCGTAATAGCGACAACGCCATTTTTTTTTCTTTTGCGTACGCAAAGCTTTTACGTACGCTATGCCCCAACTCGCTAATGGTGAATCAGGGGGCTGCGGCTACGGCAACCGTATCGAGAAAGAAACCGAACAAGAGTAGACTCGGTCGGGTGTGCACGCCGGTGCAAGTGCGTCTGCTTCCTGCGCACCTTTTGTTTGCTCCCCAAACGAGCCCAGCTGCTTTCGTTTCCCCCCGACCTACACCGAGAATGGCACGCGCTCGGCTGCTTTGTCATGGCGCGCTCCCTGAGCGCTCTCTATAGGCCCCTTTCGAAAGACTGCCCTCTGTCGGAAGCTGGGAAATCCCCGCACAATGGCCGACTGAAACCGCAACGTCACGACACATTTTATGCGCTCAGTTGGATCAGAAGGCAAAAACACACCCGCAGAAACTTGTACTGCCACGGTGTCAGATGTTCCGCCAGTGTGCGGTGGTTCTGCCCTTCTTATAATCAGCGCGTGAGTTTTGCAAAAAATGCTCAGTCAATGTACTGCGGACGGATGCGTGACGTCTCATGTTCCGTGGAAGAGCTGGCTACTGCGCACGCTCAAGACGCCTTTCACGGCTTTGTTGACAAAGATGGAAACGCCCAATGAGCGATTCTGGGAAAGGCCTACATTGCCCCTTGATTTGCTTGCCCCCGTTCGGATCCGCCAGAGACGCATTTTGGAATGCTTGCTCGCCGCATAGTTCCTACACATAGCTCGTGTTTGGGTGAAACCGGTTCAAGAACTGATTATTGATCATTTATTCTTTTTGAACCGGCAGCGTCATCATGCATTATCGCGAGGGGCAAGGAAGAAAAAACAAAAACGTTTCCGCATTTGCGGCGCAATCCCACAAGGAAGAGGAATCCATTCCCTTAACGGTCCTAACAAAAACCAACTCTTACCCAATTTCGTCCTCGTCTTTCTTTTTTTTTATTATTATTTTTTTTTCTTGTGGACCGCGTTATGAAATATACCTAGAAGGTAAAAGCTATGACGAACTGCTCACATCGGTGGTTTTATGATAGATGCTATATAAACATTTCAGAACTAACTTTTTTTTGTCCGTGTGCCAAGTTATTTTATACTAGTTATTTAACCATATCAGTGACACTTGCGTGACGGTCGTACCGTCCCAGGACGAAGCGGGCGCCATGGTTTTGCATTTCCTCTAGTTCTTCGATTTGGTTTCTTGGGGAAGGGTCCGAGATAGAGCAAGAACACTCCTACGCCGAACGCACATAAGCAACATGGGCGAACTCTTTTATAGATTGAATTGATTTTGCTAAGATGCGACGCAGAAATCCAAGTTCTCGCCCATCCCTTAAAACGACGTCGTATATGTGCGCGTTTCATTCGCAATCAACTGAAAGCGTGACGCCTAGACATTTGAAGGTTTGTTCTTTTGGTACAACTTTGCTTTTCAATTGGTATTTATCTTGAGTTTTATTTTTATTTTTCCTAGTAAAACTAGCACGAACACAGGTCTAAGTTGAGTTCCATCTTCTACTTATTGCACCATTGTATAATCTTATGCAAGTCGTCCTGAAACTCTGTAGAACTTTCCTCTTCCATTGAACACCTGAAGCACTCGGCAAAGAATCGTGCCTTCAAACTTACACCTACATTAGGGACCTTTAGCAAACTGTTACAGTCTTCCGCGTACCGCACTACCTTTGAAGCATGCTTTTAGCGCACACCCGAGTGATTAGGTGAGCGCGGGGCGCGCACTTAGAAGCTTGCTTCAAAGGCTCCAGCAGCGCGGTACGCGGAACACGGTACAACTCTTTGCTAAAAGTACCTAGTATAATTGACAAATGTTAAAAATAACAACGGCTCGAACACGCAGCCTCATGCTAAAGTACCAAGCTTCTCTTCCGAAGGTAATCAATGGTAAGCTTACTGAATGTCGAAATTGAGCTCAACGTACTTTCCCTGCACTTTAAAAAGAAATGAAATGTGTCTACTTCCCTGCAAAGCAGTTTGAGACTCAATTCGTGCAACTAACGGATTACCTCCTTATGTTATGTCGATTGACTCTCTACGTACCATTCCAATTAAATGCGCGAAATATATAACTTTTTTTGCCGTAATATTTATTTAGGTTTAATCGGGTTTCAATCTTTAATAAAAGTGATCATCATTCTAACTGTGCTTCTAAGCTTGTGTAAAGTACAGTTGACTCAATTTGGTTAAAAGGTGGAGTGTACTAAAATCTAGAAATCCTCGTTTTAACGCGAACTGGAGACCAGGCGAGAAATTTTTAAGTTCCCAGACTGGCTATAGCTTTTGTTACTAATGGAACTATATAGATAACACTGAGAAACCTACTTAACATAAACGGCTCCGGCG